GGAGGGGACATACGGGTGTAACGGCATGAGTTTTGTATTTTTTTCATTGTTATTCCGAACTTCCTTTTTTGCCCAAGTACACTAGTATGAGTTTCAATTCACAAGCAACATCACTTAAGTCGAGATATAACAAGGATGTACCGAAGAACTGTAAACTTCAATGCAGTAGTTATTTCAGTTGCAGCTATAATAAAAGTGTCTTCGGGTGTAAACCGACCATGCTGAACCTTGTAGCAATATTTGTTTTAAGAATAAGTTTTAAAAATCTGCCGAAATGGCAGTTTTACGAAAATTAGGGTTTTCAGGCTGTTTTCACCTAATATTAAAAAATTCACTATTCACTCAAAAAGCATCAGAACGAGTTCAAAACTTCAGAATGTAGAGTATGATGTAGAGGAGGATATAACAATATAAAGAAACGTAGTTAAACTCGGTTTAATATGCTCTTTCGAATGAGATACAGCATACCTTTCAGTTCGATTGCAACAAACTCATACTCATGTCTCCTCTACGTACGGTAATTTACACACTTTACATAAAACAATAGGCATTTTTGTTCATATTACTGTTATTTGTCATGTAACAGTAATATTTATTCCATTCTTCATTCACTAAATGACAAATACCTTTTTTATTATTCACACATCATACCGAGCATACAGAAAACACCCTACTTTTCAATAAAAAAAAATTGCTAATTTCAGTTTTTTCTATTTGTCTTCCTTTTCAAGAGTGTTTATTGGCACTGACATTTATAGCCTAATATCAGATTTACTAGCAGCAGAGTTATGTTTTAGTCCAACACAAGAACATATACATTGCATCAAAGGTTCTCCTTTCTAACGGAAATGAATCATTCAAGAACTCTGTTGTTTATTGTGTTAGGACTTAGTATCTTGGCATTAATATTCGATATCGTCGCTGTTGCAACACCATCATGGATGATATTAAACTCAAACATTACAAATATGGTTTTAAAGGTCGAAGTTGGTTTATTTAAAATATGTGGAAAATCGAATGATGTCAGCCGCTGTGTTGAGCAAATAATGACCGAGCCAGCTGCTCTATCCATTGTTGGTTTGATATTAACGTTTCTTTCGATACTTGTAACATCTATGGTGATTGCCATTCAAAAATCACCCCGATTTCTCAGCGTTCTACTGATCATCCTTCTCGTAACTGCTTCGGTATTTATTCTTGCTAGCATCATTCGATTTTGGTCGTCTCTGGTGTCGCAACTCTCGTCATCCGACACCGGTCAGATAATTGTTATTCTCAGTTTGCTGGTGAAAACCACAATTGGTTATAGCTTGGCTCTCATACTTACAGCTCATGTCCTGCTGAATATTGCAGCCATTGTAGCAGCATCAGTAGCTACATCAATAATTTCTCATGAATAAACTTTCATTCGGCGACTTTGCATTTGACTCGAATAAATCATATATACAATAGTCGTTAATCTGTTTTAAATGAAAAACCTCACACGGTTTTGAATGTATCTGATAGTATATGTCAACAGTATTAACCCTTTGAGTCCTGGTGGTACACATATGTACCACCTTGAGAATTTTCTAATCCTCGAGTTTTTCAGAATCATGGAGGAATATTTTCAATAAATATTAGAAGCCCATAGAGGCCCGTATAAGCTTGCACGGATGATGAGATGTATGGATAATATTGAAAAGTGTACAATTCCAAGTTTCTTTAGTCCGAAAAAATGCTTGACTATATAACTTGATTTTTAAAAAATTAATATCATAATTGATTACGTTATCATATATGACCTATTTCATTAGTCATCATAGTTTCTGGAGCTTTCTAGAAACTCCTATGGACTACTCAATACTGGGATATATATACACATTGAGTATTGTATATACAGATTAAAAAAAGACTAAAGTCAAATTGATGCATTACATGTACAACGACAAATATATAATGGATTCAAATTCTGATGACAGTATATCGGATGAAAATGAAAGTACAATTAGTCTGTATGAACTTAACAACAGTAGTTCTGAAGATGGTGATTCATTGGTTGAAGAACTCGATCAAAATTCAATAAGTGAATGGAAATGGAAAGTAGATAATTCACACGTTTCTACTTCTTTTAATTATTTTGATGGACATGCATTAGACAATAGCAATACAATCAGTCCAACTGACTCATTGTACAAGTTTATAAGTCAGGAAGTGATCGAACTAATTACAGATCAAACAAATATTTATGGAAAGCAACGTTGTGTTCAACAAGGCGACGACTGCACAAAATGGAGGGAAGTTGATGAAATTGAAATATTGACATTTCTTGGAATTTTATTTATTATGGGATTTCACAAGTTACCAAGAATTAGAGACCATTGGAGTAATGATAGGAACTTATTTACACCTGCTGTTGCGAATATTATGACTCGGGACGAATTTTATAGACTTGTCTCTAATATTCATCTGGCGGATAGTTCCAAAATGCCTTCAAAAGAGTCTCGTGATTATAATAAGTTAAATAAAGTAAATGATTTTCTAAATCTTTTGAGAAGAAATTTTCAACAGAATTACGAGCTCGGATCGTATATTTCAATAGACGAGTCAATAATAAAATTCAAAGGAAGGTCTTCTATAAAACAGTATGGACCATTGAAACCAACTAAGAGAGGATATAAAGTATGGGTTTTGAGCGAGTCAACTACAAGATATGTATATAACTTCGAAATTTATACTGGAAAAAACACGAGACGACATTTGTCATTAGGAGAACATGTCGTCATGACACTAATACATGAAATAGATCTAAAGAATTGCCAGTTGTTTTTTGAATTCAATTCCTTACCATTGCTTTATAACTTGAAGAAAATGAATGTTCCAGCTATGGGTACAATTTGTTCAGATAGAAAATATTTTCCACTTGAACTAAAGAAAGAGGAAAAACTTGAAAGAGGCGGTTATCGATATATGACATCTAATGGAATATCTGTAATAAAATAGATGGACAAAAAGGAAGTCCTTCTTGCGTCAAATTATTTTGATCCCAGTGTTGTAGGAGCAGTAAGTCGACGAAGTAAAGATAGGAGTAGACAGCAAATTTCTTGTCCATTGGCTATAATTCAATACAATAAGTATATGGGAGGAGTTGATTTGTCTGCTCAGAAAATAAAATCCTACGCCATCGATCGAAAGTCAAAGAGAAACTGGATAAGAATATTTTTGTATTTTCTAAATATGTCATTGGTAAACTCGTTTATTTATTATAAACAGACCTCTTCTTCTAATATTAGTGCATTAGAATATGTGTCATCTATTAGTACTGCACTAGTAGGTAATTATCATAATAGAAAGAGGGTAGGAAGACCTTTGTCAATAAGTAATCAGAAGAAGAGACGCATCGAAAGAAGTATAAGTAACACAGAAAGTTTCGAAA